CCAGGCAGACCACTACTGCAGAGGCTCTGCGGAACAGCGAGGACACTCATGTGGCTGGAGGGAATGAGTAAGGAGAGAGCAGTTGGATATGTGCTCAGAAGGGTAGCAGAGGCCTGGACCAGACCATGTGGGCCCGTGAAGGCACAGTGGGAGGAGATGATGGAGATGGCTTGTTAGAAAGCACTCCCTCCACTTAGAGGAGAAAAGCGAATTCTGTGGAAGAGATACGATTAATACAAATTTGCATAGCTAGGTAGAAACCCTAGAGCAAGTCAGAAATGGAGACAGAAAATACATAATGTATCCATTAGGATGCCTTCGGCTGCTTCTAAGAGAAACCCTGAATTCAAATAGGATTCCACAAATGAAAATATTTTAAAATTGACTTTAGATCGAGAGAGGAAGGGAGAGAGAAAGGAGAGAGAGAGAGAGAGAGAGAGAAATTGTTGTTCCACTTATTTATGTATCCATTGGTTGATTCTTGTATGTGCCCTGACCACCTGACCAGGGATCAAACTTGAACCTTGAAGTATCAGGACGACACTCCAACCCACTGAGCTATCCAGCCTGGGCCCACAAATGGAGACTTTGTCTTGCATTACTGGAAGACCAGAGTTGTGAGAACCCTGGCAATAGTTCTACAAGTAGCTCAAAAATGTCCGTTCCATTTTTCCGTCTTCCATCTTCAGTGTATCAGTCAGGATGGGGTTGGATATGCTGCAGAAACAAACCCCAATTCTGGTGGCTTTAAGAATAGTTTATTTTACTCATGCTACATGTCCATGGCGAGCTTTTAAAAAAATCATCTGTGGGCTCTACTCACTGTCATCACTTACAGTCTGACAGAGCCAGTTTCACATAGGACATTGTTGATCACTCTGCCGGAAGACATTGAGAACACTAGAGTGTTTTGAAGTGACAGGTAAGTCTCTGGTTCTGCTCGCGATTTGTTAACCAATTAATACTGAGTCACTTTCCCCTTCTACTCACACGTGAACCGAGAACTGCAACTCTACTCCATGCCTGGAAGGCAGAGATACTGACCAGCACTAAGGATGATCAAACTGAGTATTGGTTTCCCGCCTGGTGCCCGCCACCCCCCACCCACTTCAACCTAACATTCAGGAAAGTAGAGGAACTCTCTCACTAGTTTTAAGAGCAAGGAAAATCTCCCCAGAATCCGTCAACAGATCCTTCACTTTGTTCTGGCCAGAAATGGATCACATGTCCGTTCTTAACAAATCCCTGGCAAAGGGGGATGAGACGATTATGGCCGGCTCAGCCCGACGAGCATCTGTCCTCTAGAGCCAGGGACCGGGTCGCTCTCCACGGAGCCCAAGGGCCGCCTGCAGTTGGTATAGGTGTTGAAAAGATGATTCTTCTCCGGAACTGTGTAAGGAGTCAAGTCCACAAAGGAAGGACAGCTTCGTCCTGTCAACGATTCAGTTACTGAAATTAAAAGGAGAAAGTAGGGAAAGGATGTTGGTAGGCGACCAACCCGGACTACTACAAGGGGCAAACCAGGAGGGCTGGGACGTCAGTAAAGGGATTAATCAGCACGAATTGGCGGTGACAAGACAGTCACAGGAATGAATAGTGCAGCATAGAGACTGTAGTCAATGGTATTGTAACAGCAATATATGGTGCAAGGGAGGTAGTAGACTTATCCGAGGGATCACGTTGTGAGTTATATAAATGTCTAACTGCTAAGCTATACGCCTGAAACTATCATAATATTGAATGTCAACTGTAATTGAAAGAAAAGAAGGACGGTGTACTGCAGTAAGCGTTGGAGGAATAACCCCTAAGACCCTATCCGACTCTATGACACTCTTATTTCATGTGAGTCTATCGATGCCACCTTTGAGGAGCACAGGGCTTCACAACATATGGGTGGGTGGTGGTGCTGGTCTGAGGAACCAAAGCAATTTCCCTGCCTCACTGCCACTGAGGAGCTCTTGATGGAGTGCCACATGAGGAAGGCACACTTCTACACAGTGTGAGGACACCGCCAGGCATGCAGTGGGCGATTCTGCAATGATGAAGAGGGAAGAGGCAGGGAAGGGACTGCCTTAAAACCTGCACACAGTGTAAGGGGCAAGGAAATGTTATGATTGACTCCCAAACGCCTATGCTTTTCTTATCTGCTCTCTTAAGCGTGAAACCCTTGTGCTGGACAGCTTCAGTTCGAGCTCTGCAAGTCACCTCGACATGCCCGTCACACTACTGTCCCGAACCTGCTCTTTTGACTGTGCTTGTCATCTGCACCATGAGAAGCAACGAACTACCAGCATTACCGCGGACCTTCATGGACTTTTACCTGGATTGTCAGAGCAGCTTCCTCATTGCTCTCCTCCCACCCGGTGTTCTTTTTATTCCTGTGGACATAGAGAGCCTGTGGGCATGGAAGTCTGACAGTGTCTTCCCCTTGACGGGTGAGTAAAGCCCACCGATAATTCCTGTAGAGTAAATTCACGTTCCTTGGCAGGGGATCAATGCCCTCCTGCCAGCTTCCTTCAGAAGACTCCCTCAGACTTCATGCTAATCTGCTCTATCCCCTGCTCACAAGGCCTCACTCCTCCATGCCTTCCTGATTGTGCTAACGTGTTCCCCTCTGCCAGAAGTGCCCTTCCACTCTCGTTTGCTGTGTTAACTCTTATTCAGTGTTCAAGATTCTGCGCATCACCAATTCGAGAACGCTGCCTTTGACTCCCTCCTTTCCTGTCCCGGGCTAGGGGGCACCTGTTACCCGTGTTCTCAGGGCGCTCTGTGCCCGCCCTTACCAGGGGACACAACCACAACATGGTGATCATTCGTTTAGCTGCCCCCTCCTTGAAGAAAGGGACTGCCTTCTTCATCCTTTGTCTCAGCACTTACCTCAGTGCCTGGTGGAGAGTAGACACTAGATAAATGGTCCCAGAACAGAATCATTAAAAAGAGGGTGGCAGCTGAGAGGAAGTTGAGGGGATGGGAGGGAGCATGGGAGAAGAGGGAAGGAATGGAGAGACAGCAGCGCGTGGGCAGTTTGTGCGCCTCCCTCCCTGGGATCCGCGTCTCCTTCTCCGGCCTTGGAATTTGTGTTCTTGCTCCAGTTCATCTATTCTGCAGTTCCAAGGAGACGCTGTCTTTCCCTCATGGGGAGTCCTTGGTTGGGGTCACCAATGAATTGGGACAGCCCTGAGGACACTATCTAACCCCCACACTCTCACGACGTCGTACTCTCTGCCTTCAGCCTAAGCCTCTGGCCCTCGCACACAAGGCCGGGGCAGACGGGCAGACTCTGGACAGTGGTCACTACCTTTTGTTCTTGTTTCCTCCCATCTCCTGCACCAACACACGCGGAGGAGGATGACTGTGACTCTCTCTTAGGACGGCCTCCTCGCTTTGAGAGTTAGACCTGGGCTTCCGTCCACAGACCAGGTCAGCAACCATACAGGAAGAACCCCACCCCCTGCACCCCCGCTCCCCGACCCCTGCCGGCTACAGCAGAGCGATTGCGAAGCTGAGTCTCGGCAGGCTCAGACAGCTTTTCTAACTCTGCCCCAATGCTCTGGAAAAAGTCCTGGGAAGAGGGAATAAGAGGTGCCACCCAGCGCTGGGGCTGTCCAGGGCCTGTGTGCATGCTGGAGGCCGGGCGGGAAGCCGAGTGCCAAAAGGGGAGAGAGTGTAGGCCCTGCTCACTGGTGTCTCTGTAACTCACACACGCCACCTGACCCTTGGTCTCAGTTTAGGAACCTGTAGCAATGGGTTTGACCTCATCTCTCCGCAGCACACGTCGCCACTAGGGAGTGGCAAAGGCTTGCACAAACCCCAACTCCCGCTCTGGCAGCGCACGGCCGGTAGGGTGGGACCTGCCGCCAGGGCTGGACCCGGCAAATGCACGGAAGGTTTGGTCCTCCGCGGGCCAGCCACAGAGGGTACACTCCCGCCCTACTCCCGGCTCCCTCTTTGCCTGCCTGGTTCGCCTTGTTGATTAACGGGTGTCCTGGGTTTTGGTGACGCGGAGCTTCAAGTGCCGCGAGGGGGAAAAAGCCAAGAGGAGCTCCCCCACCCCCTCGGGCGCCCGCGCGTGTAAACGTGGGCGGCAGTGAGCGGCTGCCCTCCCCCCCCCTCCCCTCGCGGCGCTCCCGTGTGTGCGGGAGTGTGAGTGCGTGTGTCTCCTTCGCTCCGCTCGCATACGCTCCGGCACCAGTGCAGGCGGCGAGCCGGTGGCTCCCGACTCGCTCTCTGCGGCCGCTGCGCTCCCGCCTGGCCGCCGCCTCTGCAGTCGCAGCCGGGCATGGTGAGTGAGTGAGGTCCAGCCGCCGCGCTCCCCGAACCCGCCACCTGACCCCAGCCGCAGCCGGTTCCGTCCCAGAGAGCCAGCCTGCGGCGGGAGCGCGCTGAGGGGCGGGCGGTCTGGGGCTCGGGCGGCGGAGCGGCGGCCGGAGGGGCGGCTCGTGCGCCCTCGGTGGCCAGCGCGCCGGGCCGCGGGGCCCCGTCTCGGGAGCGGGCTCTGCACCCCTCCTGGCCCTAAGCCTCGCTCCTCGAGGACTGCGCGCTCCCTCCCCGCTCGGCGCTCGCCTCCCGCCTCCAGAGCACCGGTCGCTCCACCCCGTGACCGGCTCCCTTTTTTGTCCCGCAGGACCCGCCCGGACGGGACCACGCCGCCGCCGCCTCCCGGAGCTGCGCTTCGGGTCCTGCCTGAGCCAAGCGGAGCGCCGGGCCGTGCCGCTGCCGGCGGGGGATGGGGCTGCCCGGGAGGCGCGCCGAGCCCGCAGGGGGAGCGCGGAGCCGGCGCGCAGCGTGAGAGGAGCAGAGCAGCCCGCGCCGGGCCGGTCTGTGCGCACGGCGCGCCCCCGTCGCCGCTGCCGCCGCTCGCGCCTCGATGGCGCCGTCGCCCCGGTGCCACTGACCGCCCCGCGCCGCCAGCCCGGCCCGCGCGGCCGCCCTCGGAGCCCGCCGGCCGGGGGAGCGGCCTGCCGCGGAAGCCTACCCGCGCCCTCCCGCCCGGCCCCGCCATGGCGCCGCGGCGCCTCCTGCTGCTGCTGCTGCTCTTGCTGGAGTCCCTGGAATTGCTGCCCGGCGCCCGTGGCGCTCGCGGCCGCGCCGCCAACCGGACCCTGAGCGCCGGCGCAGCTGCCGTCGGGGGCCGGCGTTCCGGGGGCGCCCTGGCCCGGGGCGGCCGCGAGCTGAACGGCACCGCCCGGGCGCCCGGTGTCCCGGAGGCGGGGAGCCGGCGAGAACAGTCCGCGGCGGCAGTGGCGGCGGCCAGCGCGGCCGTCACCTACGAGACGTGCTGGGGCTACTACGACGTGAGCGGCCAGTACGACAAGGAGTTCGCGTGTAACAACAGCGAGAGCGGCTACCTGTACTGCTGCGGCACCTGCTACTACCGCTTCTGCTGCAAGAAGCGCCATGAGAAGCTGGATCAGCGCCAGTGCAACAACTACCAGAGCCCGGTGTGGGTACAGACGCCCAGCACCAAGGTGGTGTCGCCGGGGCCCGAGAACAAGTACGACCCGGAGAAGGACAAGACCAACTTCACCGTCTACATCACCTGCGGGGTGATCGCCTTCGTCATCGTGGCCGGCGTCTTCGCCAAGGTCTCCTACGACAAGGCCCACCGCCCTCCGCGGGAGATGAACATCCACAGGTGAGAGCCCCCAGGCTCCCGTAGCCTCGTCCCTCCTAACACGCTCGCCTTGTCCTCTTCACTCTCGGCGTCACCGCGACTGTCCTGACGCTCACAAGTCAGCTTCACCCTTGCTTCTTTGACAAGCAGTACATCCATCAGCGCCTCTTGTTCCCTCTTCTCCATTTCTTCAGAATTGGGAACACATGCTTGGGGTGGGAGGGGGATTTCTAAGGTATGAATTGGTGGGGTCCATGAAGTGTGAGTATAAGAATTTTACAAATTCTGTATTCCTGGATGGGCGCCCAGGGTTTAGTTTTTATGGCAGGTGGGCACTGTGGTGGAGGCTCCTAATACATTTGGTTTTCCGAGTCAAACTGTAGCATCATCTTCAATCAAGGAAATTGAGCAGTGTTGGAACCGTACTGAAAAGAGTACCAAGTGGTTTAGTCTGAACCGGGTGGTGTTAGAGATGGGAGCGCTGTGCAAAGGATGACTCTTAGGGGAAGAAGGAATAAAGACTTATCCCTTCCATGTTGACCAAGGGCAGATGGTGTCTCCATACATTCTGCCGAGTGGGCTGCTTATCTTTCATGCTGAGCCCCGAGGACTTGTTCTTTTAAACCCCGTAGGCAGAACTCTCTGAGTTAACACTTCTTGCTGTGCTAAACCTGCTGGGCATCTTTCACTCCTTCCATTAGGGAGGTGGTGGGGGCTGCCTCCTACCAAAACTTACGCCAAGGACTCAAAATATGGTGGGGAGTCCGTGGTTTCAGCCCGACTGCCTCCCACCCCAAAGCCCCGAGAACAGGAAACCAGCCTCTTGTGACAACTCGAGGAGCCAAGCACCTGGGGGACGCAGACTTAGCCCTGCTCCCAGTCCCCTTGTGATGATGAACGGCTGGACGGGGTTCAACAGAGTCCTTTCAGGGAACAAACGCTGCGCTAGGGAATTCCTCCGTTTGTGGCACACGAGGTGTGCGCTGTCCTAGTAACCAAGACCACCTCTCAGACCAGCGCTGCTTCTGAGTTTACCTGGCAGCCCCCCACCCTGAGCCATAGACCCTCAGCTCATCTCTGCACTCTGCTTGCTGTCCCTTTCTCCTGAAAGCCTTCTTCCCTCTCTGCTGTGGACGTCAGTCCCCTGCACCTTGATGAAGAGAGGCAGATAGAAATTTCTGGGCATAATTTTTTCCCCCCCTTGATCCTGGGGATGTTGAGAAAAGAAGATAGTTCCTGGCAGGTCTAATTGAGTCAAATCCTCAAAGTGTGGGCACTTCGATACTGACACACTCAGGTGTGGGAATTAGGATGCACCCAGGGGTCCCCTTTATGACCCTCATTCATCACTCGTAGGGGCCGCTGCTCTCCGTTCCGGTCCCACCCTGTTTCTCAGGTAGAAAGTCTGTGACTGGACCAGTCCTGGGAACGGACGGAGCAATTGTGGCACAGGGTCTGTGGCCAGGGCAGGTTGTCCGATGCAGAGGGCAGGTGGGATGGACAGCAAATGAAGGACAAGGCATTCCTTCCTTCGGGCCTTGTCTGATGAAGAATTCTGTTCACTCGCCTTGGAAGCAGAGAAGGCACTGCCTGTGGGCAAGCAGATGTACCTGGTCCTTATCATCCCTCCGCAGTCTCTGCTTTCAGCCCCAGAGGGTTGTCTGCTTTCACCTTCTTCTGTGGTCCTGCTTTCTTATCATCACCCCGTCTGCTCTAGCGGTGGCCTTCTGGGTGATTCTCACAAACCTTCCTTTGAGCCGTTGTCCTCTGCTCTCTCCAAGAGAGTTGCCCCCTGCTCTGGCCTTGCCACCTCCTCCTCCTGAGTTTCTTCATCATCACCTTGAAGGATACTGATGGGGTTTGCATGATGCTGGCCTTGGCCTGGGTTCTGTTGGCTTGTGACCCTGGAGATGTCAGGGTCCCTCCTGGTGTTTTCTCCCCTCCCTACTCCTCCGATCTCCCCTCCCCAAACTCGGGTGTGTGGGTGTAGGGCTCAGTGGCGATGCCACTGGGGGGTAGTTTTTCTCTGGGGCCAGGGGGGAGAGTAACTATGGGAATGGGGAGGAATTTCAGCCCTCAGACCATTATGTAAATATGGGATGTTTCTCTCTCAAATTCAACTCCTGATTTTATTCAGTTCACAGCACCTCTCCAGCAGCTGCAGTCGCGCCTGATCAGTGCTTTGGAAACCATCATATTGGTGCCTGTTGGGTAGGGGACAATGCCCGTCTCTGCTGGTGGGGCGGGGAAGGAGACCGAGCATGAGAGAGCCATCTAGGACACTCCACGAGTGACCTTGGGCGGGTGGGGGAAACTTATTTTTTAGTTTTGGGTAAGTCAGGCACACAGCGTCTCGTGGCTACCTCCTCCAGGCGTGTCAGGGTGAGTGTGCACATTTCAGGGAGATGCCCACTGACTCCTGGGGGTGCAGGTTACCACGCTCGTCTCACTTTGCACACACCTCCCAGGCCGCTGCTTGCTATTTTGGGGAGCAATGTGGGCAGAATGTCTGGTTGGGGAACTGGGGTAGGGAAAAGGAGACAGTGATGGAGAAAGAGGTACATATTTTCACCGTAATGAGTGTTCCCTAAGGAGAAGGGGGGATAAGAGAGAAAGTGTACTCTTCAGGGGGCAGAGGGAAAGAGGGGCGTGCCCTTGGTTCCGTAGTCCTTGAGCTAGTTCAGCAAAGACATTCCCTTTACGAAAAGACAGGATGCTTGTTCCTGTGTGATTCTCTGTGGAGACGGTAGCTGGCCAAGCAGGGGCTGAGTGAGGACACTGCCTCCTGGAAGGGGGCGTCAGTGGGTGCGTTCACAGGAGTAAAGAGCAAGGTGCCGCCCGAGGATCAAGCATCTGCCTGCTCCCGGGGTTCCCAGGCTGGCCAGCGGGCCCACCCCCGCCCCCAGCCACCCACGCCCACATGTTCCTTAGGTGTCAGGGCTTCTTTTCTCTTCTCCTGTCCCTTCCGGAAAGAACCGATTGAGAACTTTCCCAGAAGTGATGAGATGTTGCCATCCTGCTTCCCTGGGAGAAGCCAGTACAACTACAGGGTCCGGCACAAAGAACGCCCTCTTTTTATTCCAAACTCTTTCATTTCAAAATCATAGGCATGTAATTCTGTAACATAACACTGTCACACTCAATGATATTTTAGGTGAAATGTTCCAATGACAACTATAAATTATTACACCCATGTTATTACCCTACCAACCACATTCGAGCGAGCGTTACTTCTGCCGGACGCTGTATCAGCTCTCCGGTGCTTCTAGCAGGTAACAGTCACACGGAGCAGAGAGGAGACAGAGATGGGCAGAGGGACCCATGTGCTGGACCTGGAGAGCCTCACCCGGAGAAACACGGGGGGCCTGCCTTCCCCAACTGAAACCCGTTTTTCTACCGGGATCCCCGCCTCACCTTCTCCTTTTCACCTGCCCAGGCTGAGGCTCAAGCTGCTGGGCCACAGGCATCCACTGATTTTAAAGCCTTTTTTTTTTTTTTAAAAAAAATTACTGATTGGAGAGAGAGGGGAGGGTGGAGGGGAGAGAGAGAGAGACATTTTGTTGTTCCATGTATTTATGCACTTATTGGTTGCTTCTTCCGTGTGCCCTGACCAGGGATTGAACTTGCAGCCTTGGTGTGTCGGGGACAACGCGCTAACCCACCGGGCAACCCAGCCAGGCATCCGCTGATTTCAGTGTTTCAGGAGCAGCTTTGCAGCGCTTTTCCGGGGCTGTGTGCTCAGTGAGGGGCTGCTGCTGTTTTCCAAGGGCAGGGTTTCTGCCCAGGAAACGCCCCAGGAGCCTGGTTTCCTTTGGATGTTCAGTTCCATAGGCGTGTCTCACAGTCAACCCGGTCCCGCCTTCTCACCCTGACTTGATTCATTAGTGTCTTGGAGGTGAGAATCATTCTGAGGGAGGCACTGTGTGGTTTTGTAAAAAAATGGCTCATTAACAGATGGGTCAGGAAGCTGTTAGGATGTTTCAGATGCTGTTGGTGAGGTCAGAGCTGCCCTCTGCAGGGGTGGGGGCAGGGAGGAATTTGGGGGTGGGGTGGAGAAGTGCTCAGCGCTGTGGAGAAAAGGGCCCTGAGTACTCACGAGTCCGCAGATGGTCTTAGGCAAAAGGAAAAGCGCTAAGCGGTGACCCCTATAGTCGGCAGAAGGGTCCTTCATCTTTGGCTTCCTCTGCTTATTTCCAGAGGAATCAGGGAGCACTTTGTTCCACTTTTTCTCCCTCTAGAAAGTAATTACAAATCCAAAGCTCTGTTTTTCCCTCACAAACTACATAACCGCAGGACCACTTTGCTGACTGATTTAGTGAGTTCTCTTCTTGGGTTCTTGGGCAATGAATTGTCAAATCACTCCAAACACTCCATTTTTTTTTTGAAGCACTGTGGACTCATTAGAATGAATTGCTCTAAACAGAGAGTCAACTTGTTTTTTTGCTTCAAATATAGCAGTGGGAAGGAAGAACAAAACCATCTTGCCTTGGACTAAAGGTCTTTGTCTTGCATGTTTTCCATTTTCTTTTAGTAAAAAAAAAAAAAAAAAAAAGGAGCATGTAGGGAAAGCAGTGAAATTGTGGAAAATTTAAGAAGGCCTGTGGAGGAGTGGTTAGGGAAGCGCACCAGGAAAACAGAAAGCAGCAACAGTAGTAAAAGGGGGAAGGTGATCAGGTGAGAGACGTGGATGGTGTTGCTCAGATTCTGTGCTTGCTTTGTCTCTGACATGCCTGCAGCTACATGCATGTGTGTTTGTTCAACAGAGGCGGCCTGCTCACATACTGTGGGCGAGATATGTTGCAAACTGTAAAGTGGCTGTTTGTTTCCTTGGACACATGAGGCTAGCGGGGCTCATTCTTGATTCAGCATGGCAGCCATGCCAATACTTTTCAAAAATTCCTGGACGGGGCAGTTCTCCCTGGCACGTCACTTGCTGTCTTCATGTTCTCTCCCGCCTGACCCCACGCCCAGAAAGCATGTACCTGTGTCCCTCTTTCCCTGCCCCGGGCTCAGAGCACATG